ACTCCAGCAGGACGTTCTGTCATCCTCCGCGACAGCGGTTCCCCTGTCTCCTTCTCACCGCGAACCCGAGCCGCATGCCAACAACCCGCCCTTATACGATGGAGATCCGAATTCATGTCGGGCATTCTTATCTCAGTGTTCACTGGTGTTCGCGCTGCAACCACGCCGATATGCTACAGAATGGTTAAAGGTTGCCTATGTCATTACACTGCTGACGGGAAAGGCTCGCGAGTGGGGGACTGCCGTTTGGGACGCTAGAGCCCACTTTTGCACGGATTTTGAGGAGTTTCGCGGTGAGATGACAAAGCTGTTTGATCGCTCTGTTAGGGGAGATGAGGCAACGTCCACACTAGTGCGGCTCCGTCAAGGAGGCCGTTCCGTGACTGAATATACCATTCAGTTTAAAACATTAGCTGCTTCCTTCGACTCCTCTCACCACCTCTGTCCTCTCTGGCTGAACCTGAGCCCATGCAGGTGGGGCGGCTTCGATTGTCGGCTCAAGAAAGACAACAGAGGCTGGTCCAGGGTCTATGCCTCTACTGTGGGAGGTCGGGCCACTTTGCTCGGTTGTGTCCTGTAAAAGCCAAGGCCCACTAGTCAGACGGGGAGTCCTGGTGGGCGTTTCTCCTCTAATCTCCCCTCAGTCACGCACCCAACTCTCTGCTACCATCACGTACCAAGACTCGGTCCACTCCTGCAAGGCTCTGGTTGATTCCGGTGCCGAGGCCAGCTTTCTGGACTGTAGCACGGCCAAGAGCTGGGGCATCCCTGCCATTCCCCTCTCCTCCCCTGTCGCTGTCTGGGGCCTCTCTGGCCAGCCTGTAGCCACTATCACCCACACCACCCCTCGTGTGAGTCTTGTTGTGTCGGGCAATCACCGTGAGTCTGTTGTGCTGTTCCTCCTGGAGTCCCCATATGCTAGTCTTGTTCTGGGGCACCCCTGGTTGGCTCAGCACAGCCCTCATGTGGATTGGTCCCGCAGTCAGATATTGTCTTGGAGTCAGTCTTGTCATGCTTGTTGTCTAGGTGCAGTTTCTCCTCCTTTGTCTGTGTCTCCTGTGTTGCAGGTTGAGGCAGCTGATATCACTGGGGTCCCGGGGGAGTACCATGATCTGCGGCTGGTTTTCAGCAAGTC